TGGGTGTGAGAGAGAGAGAGAGAGAGAGAGAGAGAGAGAGAGAGAGAGAGAGAGAGAGAGAGAGAGAGAGAGAGAGAGAGAGAGATGCCGTCAAGTCACTTCCAACTTATGGCAACTTTATGAATTAATGATCTCCAAAATGGACTATGGTCTTGCAACTGAGGGCCATGGTTTCCTTGACGGAATCAATCCATTTCATGTTGGGTCTTCCTCTTTTCCTGCTGCCTTCAATTTTTCCTAGCATTATTGTCTTTTCCAGTGACTCTTGTCTTATCATCTTGTGACCAAAGTACGATAGCCTCAGTTTAGTCGTTTTAGCTTCTAGGGAGAGTTCAGACTTGATGAGACAATCCAAAATGAAAGAAAAACATAAGAGATATTATACACACACACAGAGTGATCACTGACCTGTTTGAGCCTGTGGGCACCTTTGAAATTTTGGCACAGCATGGTGGTTGTATACCAACAAAATGGCTGCCACAGGAGGTGGAACCAGCCACAAAACGTGCTGCAGCTTACTTTCAGTCATACCATGATGATCCTTGGATTGTGGTGGCTGCTGCTACCAAAGCAACATTTTTAAAAATCTGTACAGTCAATCTAATCTCCAGTGGCTAGTAGCCTCTCCCGGCCCCATCTACTTTTTAAAAACACTAGGCAGGTACCAGGAAAAGTGTCAGTGGGTACCATGGTGCTGATGGGGCTATTTTGAAGCAGGAACGCACAGGAATGGAGTTCCAGCTGGCTTCAGAGCTGGCCACGCCCACTACAGCTGAAACCTCTGCATGCATGGCTACAGAGGGAAGGCCTGGAGAGTGGGGAAAAGAAACCCGGTGACTCCAAGGTGGGCAGGCCAGGGAGGCCCCTGGAAGGATCGGGGAGGCATTTAAATGCCTCCCCGTGCCCTCCCTGATTTTCCAAGGGCCGGCTTGCCCTCCCTTTCCTTCAAATCCCGCAGCCACAGGGCACCCAGGCAAGCCAACAGAAGGCACGGGGTGTGGCCTAATATGCTAATGAGCTGCACTGTCAGGGGGTGGCCTAATATGCTAATGTGTTTCTGCTGTTGGGTGTGGCCTATTATGCTAATGAGTTCCTGCTGGGCTTCTTCTACAAAAAAAGCCCTGGGCACCACATTGAGGACCCCTGACCAACATCATGTGGTTAGGTCCTGAGCAGCTGTTTTCATGATGATTGCAGAGGTAGCTGTGTTAATCTGTCATAGCAAAATAAAACAAAAGTCCAGTGGCACCTTAAAATGAACATTCATTTCAATATGAGCTGTTGTGAGTCACAGCTCACTTCTTCAAACAGTACTATGAATTCTTATAGGAAGATGGTGGGGAGGAGCCATGGCTTGGTGTGAATTATACCATGAGTCTTACAAGTGTAAATTCTAGTATAAAGAATAGTCTTTCCAAATATCTGTCCATCTGAAGAAGCAAGCTGTGAATCACAACAGCTCATATTGAAATAAATTCTCTTCGACCGATTTCCCACAGCCGCTGCTCTACGCTTGCTCCTCTCTGCCCCGATGGTGTGTGTCAATTTCCCACTCAAAGCCGTGTGGCCGCATTTTGACCCGCGGCTTCGCCCGATTTCCCCTGTGGTTTTGTGACCCTGTTTTTTGAGGATTATGAAACTGCGGGGAAAATCGGGCAAAGCCACAGGTCAAAATGTGGCCACGCGGCTTCGAGTGGGAACTTGACACGTACCATCGGGGTAAAGAGAGGAGCGAGCGCAGAGCAGCAGCTGTGGGAAATCGGTCTTATAGTCTTTAAGGTGGCCTTGGACTTTTGTTTCAGGTATTTTCAGCCATAAAAAGATTTGAACCACAGTTTGTTAAAAAAATCTAGGCTTCTCCACTTTAAGTGAAGTGAAATCCATGACAGGAAGATTTTTAAAGATGTTATTTTGTCCTTTACTTATTTTTCGAATGACAGCTGGGGATTTGGGAAGGGCTGCAATCTGCATATTTGCCCTTTATAAAACTGGTATTATTGATCAGACCCTCCTCTCAGACTACCCCACAAAGACGAAGAATTGGCTAAGAGGGGGTTTTGCCAGAGAGGAAGGTTACAAATTAATCTTGCTTCTATCGCTGAAAGCAATAAGAATTAATCTCTAGAGTTCTTTGGTGCAAACAGGGAAAGGAATTTGGAAGATAACATCCAGTACTCAAGCCTGAATTGTAGGAGGTGTATATACAGGGCTGCCAACCTCCTTCAGACAACAGAGATCAATTCCCCTGGAGAAAATGGAAGCTTTGGAAGGTGGACTCTATTGTATTGTTCCATGCTGAAATCCCTCCCCTTCGCAGGCTCTCCCCCCCCCCTCAAATCTCCAGGTATTTCCTCACCCACAGCTGGCGACCCTTGTTGGCCACCAGAGCCATATGCATGAAAGGGAAACTTTAAGAACTCGTGGGAGGCACCTCATTCCCCCCATATCCCCTTCCCACTATTTCCTCTTTTCCTCCACCTGGAAACCCCATATCTTGCATTTCCCTGCTTCCTTCTCTTCTTCCCACCCTCAAACTAACCTACTAACCTCCTTTTTTCTCCCCCCCCCCCCGCATCTTCAGCTATATTTACTATTTCATTTATATCCTGCATTTATCCACAATGGGGATCCAAAACAGAGAATATCAAATGAATTAATTGTGAGTTCTGTTCTTTGTACTTATTGGCAAACCATGTACAAAAACCTTCAAAGAATATTTACCTTTTACTTTAAAAAGAAATAGTTCTCTTTATTAGACAAGACCTTAGAAAATACAAGCATGTGAAAATAGCCCCAATAGCTACTGCAAAAGCAAGTGCCAAAATTATTAAAGCTCCTACCATTTCTCAACCATATTAGAGTAAGTAAAATTTAAAGCAAACCAGATTTCGGGTTACTGTCTTAAACAGCTTTCAGGGTTTTTTCTTTGAACCCAAGTCTTTCTGAACCCACCCACATCTCTTACCTGCACACTCCTAGTAGAGGTTAACGTTTCAATATGAGGATGGTAGCAGTAAATGACACAGTGTCGTTGGGACGATTCCAAAGTGTGCACCTTTCCATCCAGATCGGAGTCAGAAAAATTCATAGCAGAGAGAGTTTGCAAAAGATCAGAGCTCAGATAGAAAAATAATTTATGGAGGTATTTCTCTGGTGACATTAGTGAAAAGAGGGAGGAAAGGATTAATAATCTTAACAGAACCTCTTATGTGGATGAAAACATCCAGAAAATAAATGATTTCTGAAGTGTAATATTCACCAATGTCATGCAGATAAAGTTGGAATGGCAACAACTTTATTACAGAGAATGCTCCCCGTGTCGCATATTAATATCCAGCTGTCAGATCATGATGATCTAACTGTCAGCAGGCAAGCTGCTGGAAACTGGTCCTGACCGGTTATGTCCTGATAAGGAGTGAGGTCAGTGACAATGAGTCAGCACTAAGCTGATTGGACACTATACTGTATAAAAGTGGACAAGTGCTGCCCTGTGTTTTTCTTCTCTCTTGTGATGGTTACTGGCGGAGCACTTTGTCTGAGGACTGTACATATTGTAAATAAATTCTGTATATAGTTTACCACAGGACTGTCTTGTGTGGTGCCATACAGAGCTGTCTTTGCTGTTGAGTGCTGAAGAGTGGCTGGTGAGTTGGAGTGGCTGAAACAGTCCTGGTGGCTGACCACAGCTTTCTACTGGGCTCTCAGGCTGTCCTACGCGCACCGCGCAACACCCTGTGTGGAACTACCCTCTTCTGCCACCCCTTCTGAAGACCATCGCCTATGGTTGGGCAAAGCAACTGAGATATTTCCTGACATAGGAATCTACCTGTTCTCTCTCTCTTTCCCCAGGTCCATACTGCAGTAACTCAAACCTAACCCACACGGTGTTGGTAGTGAATACTAGCTCAGTAACCATCTTGTTCAACAGCACAGTGCACCGCTCAGGACGTGGCTTCCTCCTTTCCTATGCCAGCAGCAGGCAGCCAGGTAGGGGAGACTCCCTTATCACACCTGTAGAAATCAGATATGCCTGGAAAGTGGTGTTCTTCCGTTTGGGAATGGGTGGGGGCATCCTCCAACATGGCCATTGGTCCTCAGTCTGTAGCTACATTTGCTCTCGCTGCTCACCCACTGCAACTGAGTGGCTGAAGTGTGGTCCAGTGATGCTTCATAACGGCAAGGCAGAGAAAATGATGGATTCATGATCTTAACAGAACACAGCACCTTGTGCAGATGAGAGCATCCGGGAGGTGAAGGATTTCAAAAAGTATTCACTGTTCTGTGAATTCTTTGCTGTAATTCCTCATGTAGCTAATGACAACAACATATTTGTGGGGAGTCACCCCAGTATGGAAGCCCTCCCTCCTCTACTGGTGATGCTTTGTCCCAAGGAAGCTAGACCCGCTTAAGCAGGTGGTTAAAAGTGGCGGACTCTAACCTGGAGGACCAGGTTTGATTCCCCACTCCTCCACATGCAGCCAGCTGGGTGACCTTGGGTCAGTCACAGTTCTCTCAGAGCAGTTCTCTTAGAGCTCTCTCAGCCCCACTTACCTCACAGGGTGTCTATTGTGGGGAAAGGAAGGGAAGGAGATTGTAAGCCACTCTGAGACTCTGAGTGAAGGGCAAGGTATAAATCCATCTCTTCTTCTTAAGCCTCTATCTGGGTGAAGACAAGCTAAACTCACCTTCCTCCCAACTTCACAAATAAAATGAGACACATGTATCTGTGAGCTCAACACCAGCTCAGCCATCAACTTCCCCTTCAGATCACCTTTCCACCTTTTATATTTAAAAGGGCTATATGAATACTCCTGTGTTTATCTGCCCATTCCCTACCTTTCTTTAAAAAGGAAGCATTCTAGAGTGCAATACTGCTTTGTGAGGGGGGAAAGAGCTAAGCAGCCCTTTCCACACCGCAGACTACTGTTTTAGTCTGCTGCTGTGTTTTCTAAAAGGGGGAAAAGAACTTTCAGGGAGGAGAACTATGTGTGATTGAGTGTAGATGTCGTTTGGCTCTCTGTCAGAGAATTATGAAAGGCACACGATAACTATTGGATAAGTTAATACAGAAGCAAGAACTGAAGTATTGTGGCAATTAGAATGTTGAACTAAAATTTAGGAGACTTGGGTTAAAAATTCCACTTGCAACAAAATTTACTGGGTGACTTTAGGCCAGTAATTCTGTCAGCCTGACCTACCAAGTGCCCTGAGCCAGATAGCCCAAGCTAGCCTGATCTTGTCAGATCTCGGAAGCTAAGCAGGGTCAACCTTGGCTACTATTTGGATGGGAGACCTCCAAGGAATACCAGGGCTGTGATGTGGAGGCAGGCAATGGCTAATCATCTCTGAACGTCTCTTGCCTTGAAAACCCCACCAGGAGTTACCATAAGTCAGATGTGAATTGGTGGTAAACCAGAGGTCATTTCAGGGGGGGATCGCGGGGGATCGCAGTTCCCCCGGGTGAGGTATGGGGGGCGGGGCACATGACGAAGCCCCGCCCCCTGCTTCTGGCCGCCCCGCTTCCGGTCCTCATTCAGCCAGGAGGAGGCAGGAGAAGAGGGAGGGTAAGTTGCTTCCTCCCTGCCTCTCCCCACCCCTGCCTGCCTGGGGCCAGGGAGGGCCTTCGCGGGGCTTCCTTGCACTCCCACTGGCCTTGCAGGTCCACCGCAGGGCCCCTCATGGGGCTCGGCAGTGGAGCTGCAAGGCCGCCGGTGGCGGCCGGGACCGTTGGGGGTGGGGTGTGTGGCCTTATGACACACTTCCGGTGATGTCAGGGGGTGTGGCCTTATGACACACTTCCGGTGATGTCAGGGGGTATGGCATATGCTAATGAGTTATGCTAATGAGTTCCCCTAGCTCTTTTTCTACGAAATGACCCCTGTGGTAAACAACCAACAACACTACCTACGTAAGGTAAAGGTAAAGGTTCCCTTGCTCGAAAGCCAGTCGAATCCGACTCTAGGGTTGCGGTGCTCATCTCCGTTTCAAAGCCAAAGAGCCAGCGCTGTCCGAAGAAGTTTCCGTGGTCATGTGGCTGGCATGACTAAACACCAAGGCGCATGGAACACTGTTACCTTCCCACCAAAGTGGTACCTATTTATCTACTTGCAATTTCTTGCTTTCGAACTGCTAGGTTGGCAGGAGCAGGAACTAGAGACGGGAGCTCACTCCGTCTTGTGGCACCTGGGTCTCGAACTGCTGAACTACTGACCTTCCACAGCCTGCAGTTCAGCGTCTTAACCACTTGAGCCACCGCAGCTCCAGTAAAACCTACCTAGTGTGAGGATAAAATGAGGAAGGGAGAAGTGTGTACACAGCTCTGAAATCATTGTAGGGAGAGTGGGATTAAAAATATGTACTGGACAGATAATTGAAAACAATGCTGAAACAGAATTTCATATCAATTCAAAGCATATTCTTGCCTGCTGGATATTTTGACAAAAGTGGGACATCTCCCACAATGGCAGATAGCTGAAAGACATACTAATGGAGCAAGACCTAACCTCAAAAGTGGCATCAATTAAGCCTTTGAGTCGCTAAGGATCAGACTCTGGTGCTTGGAGGCCGCCAGGCAGAACTCCAGACGCAGCATCTGGAGCTCGTCATGGGTCAGATTCACACTGCAAACATCCATGACGCACTTTCTTTATTCTTTGAGATCTGTGGGAGAAATCGTGAAATGACTGTGGGTCAAACAGGCTGACGGGAAACTTTGGACACTGAATCTCTTGGTCTCATGAGATATGGGGGAAAAACTGTGCCTAGGATAGGTTGCATTCCTAGTGTTTGTCTCGTTTTCTGTTTAGGAGAGTTCTGCCCATAAAATATTTCCCTAAATAACGCCCCCGTACACGTATTTTGTGGTTTCAGATGGAGAGAAAGAACACTTCAGTATGTTCATTGGCTTTCTCATGGATATTTTAGGTAGTTTTCAATAGACTGGCTTCCCTTCCCAAAGAGGTGTGCTGAACATCTTTCACTATGATACAGACATTTATGTGATTGTCAATGTATTTGCTGCTGCTCAGATATCCTGTGCACCCAAGTCCTTATTACAACACAACAATGGATGTGGAGGCACTGTACTGATTAGAGTGATGAACTGGGACTGTCAAGATCTGCGTTCAAATGTGTACTCTGCCAAGAAGCTCCCTACATGATCTTGGGCCAAGCATACTCTCCATTAGAGGGCAAATCCATACACTACAAGCCCTGGTGATCAGATATACAACTGAAGTTTTGGAACTCAAAGACCAGCCATATGCTGGCCAGCCACATGCTGGCCAGCCACATGGGGGATCCAAGGACTTTATAACAAGTGAATTGGCCTTCAACGTACGCTACTTGCAGGGTTGTTGTGAGGTTTAAAGAAGTAGGTGAAAAATATGTAACCTACCCTCTGAGCTTCTTGGGAGAAGGGTGCAAGAAGATGCAACTCCCAGTTCTCCTGAATTCTATTCAGTTTTATTGGGTGACACATGGATTCTGCACTGGAGAAGCCAATCTTTAAGAAACGTTTGCAGTGTGGCTTCATTCACATGTCATGAACAAAGTGGTATTTGTTTGTGATGGGCATGAATCTGGTTAATTGTCAGGCTTGCACTCTCAACCCCTCCTTCTCTTGCATGGAAATCTTTCCTCAAAGTCCAATGAAGAAGGATTAAACTGTAGTTAAGAATCCCAGTTACCAGGGAAGAAACAAACCTTGGTTCATTGAGGTACCCACATTCGGACATCGTGACCAATTGGCTTTAGCATGAAGACTTCCATCTTCAATGGCAGCATGCTGCACAAGAGCTCAACAGTTAACAAGCTTCATTTCCATCACATACAAACTCCAGCTGGTTCCTGATGTTTGGCTTCAGACTGTGAAATCATTTCAAAGGAGGCAGTGAGATCTGGAAGGTGCCACGTCGGCTGGATCCTCATTTGTAGCAATCCACTCACGAACAACTGATATTGTCAGCTATAATCCGTTACCCCTTTCTTCTGTCTTTTAGATTTGATTTCCTGTTTGCAGAAGGGTATCCATTACAGCAAGGAACAAATCAGGTGAGTGCCAATCCATGGAGACTCTGCTCTGGTTGGCTATAAATACAAAATGAGTTCCGCCCTCCTCTGCAGTTCATGGTTAGCACAAGATGGCACTCAGGTACATGGAAGATTTATTTATTTCAGAAATGTCTATGCTGCCTCATCAGAGTTCTGCTCAAGGAGGTTAGCAGTTAAAATAATGTTATGGATAGAAAAAAGGGTTTTAGGCACAGGGGGGAATGAGTAAGTATATTACTATGGTGTTACATAATTTTGGAACTCTCTTCTCAGGGAGATTCGACTGTCTGCCTTTGTGGGCATCTTTTACCAGCAGGTGAAGATTTTTGTTTCTTATGGCATACCCCCAGTAATGGTTACTGGCTCTCCTCCTGGTGTTGTTTCTTTATGGGTGCGTTCAGATGCGCCATTTGATTTGGTGTTGTGACTGTTCAAGAACGGATTTTATATGCACGATCACACAGTCAACATCTGCCTCCCATCCCCAGCCGTTGGTTTCCGGCTCAAAACCCCCTTTAACCCGGAGTATTTTGTTACCAGGTCCCAAGTGGTGTTTTCTCAGTTCTCCTGTTTAAAGCCGCATTTTCTCCCTGTGTGATCGCTCCTCCGGTGTCAAGCCACTTCCAGTGGTTTAAATCCCCTCCCCGCTCGAAAGCTGCTGCGGAAACCCGAGGCTTCAGCTTTTAGCCCGCCATTTTTTTAGCGTCAGCAGTGTGCGCATAGGTGGAGCTCCACTTCCGCGTTTATAAAATCGACGTTTAAACGGTCACTCATTTTAGTGTTTATATGAGTTTGGGATCTCACGGAGGCCATTTTCGGGTCAAAAGTTTAAAGGGAAGTCTTTTGTTGGAGGGGTTGGATTGATTTGCCCTGGTGGTTCTGCGCATGCGCCATGATAGTCTCCCCCCATTCTACGGATGAGCGCCTATGTGCATGAGCAAACTGAGAAAAATTTTAAAAATGCCGACACACACTCCTGCACGTCGGTAGTGTAGATGCTGGGGAGCGATGTGACTGCGTGGTGAGGCGGGATTAGGGAGGTAAGTGTGAGCACGACTATCCAGATCAAAGATAATCGTGTCAGAACCAGACTAGTTTAAACTGCTCTTAGCACGCCGTCTGAACACACCCTATGTGTTTTTAATTGAATTGTTTTATAATTTTAACTGTATTTTTAATTGCTTAAATGTTTTAGTGCTTTTTTATGTTCACTCTTTTGTGAACCCTGATTGGGTGGAACAGTGGCATAAAAATGTTTTAAAGAAATATAATTGGTAGTAGGGTATAGCACTATAAGGAGCTGCGGTGGCTCAAGTGGTTAAGATGCTGAACTGCAGGCTGTGGAAGGTCAGTAGTTCAGCAGTTCGAGACCCGGGTGTGCCGCATGATGGAGTGAGCTCCCGTCTCTAGTTCCAGCTCCTGCCAACCTAGCAGTTCAAAAGCAAGAAATTGCAAGTAGATAAATAGGTACCACTTCGGTGGGAAGGTAACAGCGTCCTGTGCGCCTTGGTGTTTAGTCATGCCGGCCACATGACCACGGAAATGTCTTCGGACAGCGCTGGCTCTTCGGCTTTGAAACGGAGATGAGCACCGCAACCCTAGAGTCAGATTCGACTGGCTTTCGAGCAAGGGAACCTTTACCTTTAGTGGCTGATACCCCCTTCCTCCAGCGGTGTCAAACTGGGGTGTGCCCTTGACTGGCTTTCAAGCAGGGGAACCTTTACCTTTACCTTTATAGCACTATAATGTTATTGATTGCTAATGGATTTTTTTAAGTCTTCCTGTGGGGGGGGGAGGAAATGGTGGGTGCAAGAGAATGGAGAGGGGGAAATGGCACTGGGTGTGGGTTGAGGATATTTGGAAACCTGTATTGTCCTGCCCACATGTGAGCTAGCACTCTTTGTTTCAGAAATATGGGATCAAAGGAGGGGAAACTGCACAAGACAAACAAGAGGCTGGTGTTATGATACTTCTCCCCCCACACAAAAAATGTCTACTTTGAGAGCAGGGGTGCAAAAAATCTGTGCAGGAGCAGCCTGAAATAGATGGCCTGACATCACTGTATAACAGCCTTGCCTATGTTCATAAGCCCAAAAGCGTGCTTTCCTAAGACAATATAAATGCTGGCTGTCACACAGACCTGCTGCCACCACTTGCAAGGAAGAAGGGTTTTCACCCTGTGCTTTTTAATCCTGCTGCAGAGTGTACTGTCCTGCAGGCTGCAAGGAAGTCACAGGAGACATATGGGGCAACATGAGACAAGGCTACCGTGATGTGAGTACAGCACTGTCAACTGTACTTTCAAATCATGCTTTGTTTGCTGAGTGGTGTCTTCAGGGTCTGGTTTAACAGATCAGAGCTCCCAGCTTTTTTTTTTCTTTAAAGCCACCACTATGTAATTTCAATCAAAACCATGGCAAAAGGGGAAAGGGTTTAAGTCTTCCTCCCCATACTATTTTCTTGACCTGAAACTGATGTTACTTGGCCCGTTGGTACTCGCATCTGGACTTTTTTTTCCCTTTTTGGTCTCATCAAAACCGTTTACTGAATATCAGACATTCTGCTCATATGGCTATAATGTTTTACTTTTGTATTGGTTTGTATTATGTTCTACTTTGTTGTAAAAAATTGAAAAAAAAGTAAATATATTTTAAAAAATCAACATTTACTGGGGGGGGGGGGAGATGACATACTGAATTCCCAAAATGGGCTAGATTTTAGAGAGAGAACCAATTCAGAACAGTAAAGCTCAGGGGCGCCCCCCTTTATAGATCACAGCTCCCAGGCTTCAAGATGGAACCTCCTGAATACAGACAAAGAGTCTTCTAACCGATGCTCCCTCTAAGCTGTGGAGTCTTATGAGCAAAAATTCTACTTTGTGAGCTACTGGCATTAAAGTTGTGAGCGAGCCATTTGGCTACTGCATAAATTAGTTTGCTCTGGAGCCATCCCTCCTGAGCTTGGACAAAAATGTATGAGCCAGAGGCTAAAAACTGCACGCTAGCTCACACTAACTCAGCTTAGAGGGAACACTGCTTCTAACAGTAGCATCAAATAGCTACCCTTCGGTAGCACTGTAAGAGGTGTCTAATTGGACCTCTGCCTCATCTTTTTCCTTTTGCACTTCAGCCTGTGCATATGCTTCTTTTACCACTTACCTTTCATACTGGGGTAGCTCCCCCTGGCTTGGTCCCCAAGAATGGAGAGCAGAGCTGTAGTCAGACGGCTGCAGATTAATGGGACCATGCCCAGACACCTTCCACACAAGAAGACGGTGGTGGCAACAGCAGAAAAGCGTATCTGTACTTTCACGTTTTCCCAGTGGGGCATATGGCAGTGCACTTGGGCTTTCTGGAGTTGGGAAAATGGTGCAGGAAGTAAGTTTTAAACCCACCCTCCCCCAGTGCCACGATCCTAATCCAAATCAAATCCCTGCCATGCCTAATTGATCCAATCATGGAAATCCCAGGATCTAGCCTGATCTGTTTAAGAGAACTTTGGGAGCTGGTGTAGCACCACAGCTAAGAGAACAGACATAATCCAAGAGATAGCTCATGCAAACGATTATGGTGCCACCAGACTCCTGATTATCTTTGCTTTCATTCACTGTCTCATACTAATTCCCTCCAGACCTCCGTTCTCTGCAAGGCTGCTGTCCATGCTGGTGTGATCCTAGATGAACAGGGAGGGCAGATTACGTTGTTGCAAGGAAAGGGGATCACTCTGTATGAATCATCCTTTGCTAATGGACTCTACTCAAAAAGGTAAGCAGAACTGGATTGACCAACAACCAGGGGTCATTTCCTGCAGGAGTGCACAGGAGCAGAGCTCTGGCAGTAAAGAGCCCAGGGGGCGGGCACATGCAACAAGCCCCACCCCCTGCTCCCAGCAGCCCTGAGTCAGAGCAAGAAGCAGCCAGGTAAGTTGCAGAGCTCCGCCTGGCCCCCCGGTCCAAAACAGTCTAGTGGCACCTTTAAGACCAAGTTTTATTCAGGTACAAGCTCTCCCTCCTCTGCGAGGACCGATCTGCACGTTCCCCCCCCCCCCCAGTAGCTAGCAATCCGAAACAGTCCAGTGGAGCCTGAGTGGTGGGGGTTGCCTTCTGTCACACTTCTGGTGATGTCAGGGGGGGTAGCATATGCAAATAAGTTATGCTAATGAATTATGCTAATGAGCTCCTGCACCTCTTTTTCTACGAAATGACCCCTGCCAACAACCAAACACCAACTTCCGGATCCCTCTTTGAATGGGCTAAATTTCAGTTTAATTTAGCCCAAGTTTTATGTGCTCTTTAAGTGTAGGGACTTCTGTCCACAATAAGTGGAGCTGACACATATTTTTTCTCCCAAGAAACAAAAATACCAATGGACAGGCCCCAGCAATTAAATAAAATTTATGCAGCATATTGATAGAACAAGTGGAGGACCTGCAAGGACTTGTAGGGGGTAGGGGGGAAATGTCACTTCCCCTTCCCCTGCTAATTTCTTCTTTCCCTTTCCTGAAAGCCCCTATAGCCTCTCCTCTTTTCCTGCTTCCTTCTCTCCTTCCCACCCACCAGCCAATATACCTTTATCTGCCCCCTTGTCTTCAGCTTTCCTTCTTTCCCTCCCCCAGCAGCCTGTTCCCAGGGAAACTGTAGCTAAGCTGCAGGGTGCCAGTAACCAGGCTGGGACCAGTTATGAGGTGCTGGCCAGAGCAGGCCTTGTTGCACAGTGGGGAATCCCAAGGACTTGTGGGAGATACCTCACTTTCCTCTGTATGCTGCTCCCCACACTGTTTCCTCTTTCCCCCTCCTGACAACCCCCATTTCCTCAACTTTCCTTGTGTCCCTTTCTCCTTCCCACTCACCAAGCAACCTAACTTTTATATGCCACCCATCTTCAGCTATACTTATTATTTATTTACTTCATTTATACCCCATCTTTCTCCACAATGGAAACGAAAAGAAGCTTCGGTCATTCTCCTGTCCGGCCATGGTCCCAGTTACCAGATGTCAGTATCCACAGATGGGGCCATGTTGAGAATTAGATAAATTGATTAATTATATACTTATATAGTTCAATCTAATCCTTCTCAGGCATATGAAGGATGAATCCAGCCCAGTATCCTGTTTCCATCAGTGGCAAGCCAGAGGTCTCTGGAAAGTCCCTAATCAGGGCATGGAAACTACAGCCCTCCTCTTGTTGTTTGTTACTAGGGTTGCCAAGTGTGAATTCAGCCGCAGCGGGGGACTCCTGGCTGGCGGCTGGAGTGCGCGCGCGCCGCATCCATGTCGCCCGGAAGTGACGCAGGCATGCTGGGCACGCTGGGGGCGGGGCCACGACCATCCGAGGGAAAACCATAGAGTTTTCCCTCGGATGACCGTGGCCCCGCCCTCGGCATGCCCGGCGTGCCTGCGTCACTTCTGGGCGACGTGCACGTTGGGGTGGAGTTCCCCCCGGGGCCCGATCCGCCAGCAGCGGGGAACGGGCCTCTGGGGCGAGGGTTTCCCCGCCCCCCGGGGGGACTTGGCAAGCCTATTTGTTACCAGTGTCAAGAATTACGAGATACATTGCCTCTGAACACAAAGATGATATGATTTGTTTTTAAGCTAAAATAGCTCTCTTCTCTCTAGCAGTTTCCCATTGGGTAGTTTTACATTAATTAAAGTGGAAAAACACAGTTATACAAAATTAGCCAGGCAGAAACTGGATGGCATGGAATAAATAACCATAGGCTTAAAAAACAGCAGTAATGATAAAATAATGTCTTATTTCTTAACACACTTTTGTGAATTATGTTTTCAAAGGTAAGCGGGGAAATGCTATTCATTTGTGATGACAAAAGAGTTAAGTTTTGGCTTGATGAGGAAAAGAGCCGGGTGAACCTACTTTAGGGTTGCCAAGTCTTACCTTTAGCTGGAGTGGGGGACTCCTGGCTGTTTCCCAGAGCGCGCGCGTGCCGCAACCACGTCACCCGGAAGTGACGTGATCACGCTGGGCACGCTGGGGGCGGGGCCATGACCATCCGAGGGAAAACCATAGAGTTTTCCCTCGGATGACCGTGGCCCCGCCCCCAGCGTGCCTGGCATAGTCGCGTCACTTCCGGGTGACGTGCATGTCACGTACTTGGGGGTGGGGTTCCCCCCGGGGCCCGATCCGCCAGCGGCGGGGAACAGGCGTCTGGGGTGGGGGTTTCCCTGCCCCCCGGGGGGACTTGGCAAGCCTAACCTACTTGGGAAGGCTGGTCCACAGCAAAAGGGGCCACTAACAAGAAGGCCTCTAGTCTCCTTACTGAAGGCATTCTGGAAATCCTCTGAGCGATCAAAAATAGCTGACACTTGAAGAGTTTGCAGCCCAAGACATTTTACCCTCTCCCTCTTTTTCTCATTCTAAATAGGGGACCCTTATCTGAAAAGCGGCTCATCTTTCATAAAGGTTTGTCATTATACTAGTTTTAATTCTTTACTCTTTCATATTTATATCCCACCATTATTTCAAGAAGCTCGGGGGGGGGGGGCATACATGAACGGGATTTCCCCAGCTCACCTTTGTGATTCAAGCAGGGCCTACCATCAACATACTGCAACCATTTTTCCTCTTACCTTGTAAGGTAGGTTAGGCTGGGAGAGGGAATGGCCAGACTAAAGTCACTGTATGGGCTTTGTGGCACCCAGTGGGGTGTTCAAACCCATCCCCTCCCTAGTCCCAGTCTAGTGCTTTAACCACTATACAGCAATGTCTCTGTCTACAGTATATCCTTTTAGCGGTTACTCAAACCTCCCAGCAGCTGCTGCATGTCTCCCCTTTGCACTGGCAGGTTAGCTTTGCCATTTGGTCCTTGTTAGCAGTGATGCCTTTCTCTGTGTTTTGCAGCAACAGCAACACAAAAATATTTCAGAAAAACTGAAACCATTGGAACTACCTCGTAAGGTTGTTGAGAACAAAGAATGCAAGCCCCTTTCCTTCCTTTTTCAGACTGTGATGGAGTCTTGGAAGCATCCAGCTTCAACGCATCATCCTGCTGGCATGAGCAGAATGCCATGGGAGAGAATCAGATCTGGACCGCTGAGCATGCTGCTTTTAGTAGCAGTGGGGTCTCCTGGGCAGCAGATCAGAGCTCTACAGGAGAGTGGCTGGAGGTAGATTTGGGTGGAAGGAGAAACGTCACAGGTCAGTAAGTATCAAGCAGCTTTTCCCTTTTCCAAGCAAACTTCTCCAGCACCTTTTAAAGTCAAAGTATAGCCATGGGAACCCCCAGTTTCCTTTATAGAGCTAATCACAGCAGAGGGGGGCTGGTTTCCATGAGCAAAACTATGCAGGAGCAGACAGGTTAAGCCCCTTCTCCTTGTCTTGTGTGACCCCATTCCAGGGTTCTACGTGGCCATTATTTGACTGTAAAAAGCAAGCAGGGATCCATGACCTCTATGATGTCTACTTGGACCTATGTGTTTTTTTTTTTGCACCCCAATGGAGATAGTAAATTTGTACTTATCATTATTTTAATAAACCAGAAGCCTCTACTTATGTTTTTATGGGTGAATAAATTCCTTATTTTCAAGGCTTTTTTTTCTTTTTAAAGAGATGCCGGAACTTTCAAGAGGGAAATGAAGTTTTCAATCTGTATACTGAAAACTCATGAACTTTTAAACATTTTTTTTAAAAAAACATCTTTTTTAAAAAATCTGCTGCTTGAAACATAAAAAAGATCATGCACCAGGCAAGCAGCTGAGGGGGGCAAGATGAGGAGCCATTCCAAAGATGAGGAGCCTATTCCTAAAAGGCCCTCTCTCTGGTGGCTAGATATCCACCTCACTTCAGAAGACGGTGGCACATGGGGAGGGCCTGTACATTTGCCCCCATGGGGCAAACAGTCACGCTGCAGGGCCGTTTCTGGTCAGGAAAATTATTTTAGGTGGAAGAGTTTTTTAAAAATTCCCCTTGCACAGTAGTCTTGATCCACATTAGTGGCTGCATGCCTGTTATTTACGAAGGAACCATGTAATATTCAGTCAGTAATGTTTTTCTATACACTTCTCCATTTTTATTCTCTTTTTCTTCTTTGCCTTCACCAGTTGCCTCATTCCTTCCTCTCCTGCCTCCGTTGCCTCAGAAACACTGCTGTCACGCTGAACAAGTCAAATATTATGTCTCAGAAATTCACTTTTTGTGTTGTTTTCAAGAAGCCGGAGGAGAAATTGTGGCTTTTGTGAAGCCACCTCAGAATGCACTTGTTAATTGGCGAGGGGGAGAAAGAAGCTTTGTGAGGCTGGGTTGCCAGAGGCTGAGTGGAATTCAGAAAAGGAAAATAGTTGGGGGGAAGAGGGGTTATTTGATCACTGCCCTGTCTGATGCTTGGTGAAACATTCAAAGCCCATCCAGGCCTGAAAACTGTTCAGGGAAAGGTTCTTGGTGGCCATGACACAGATAATCAGGGGAAAGCTGAGGAAATCCTGTTACATTCCCGTCAGCTAAAAATCTAAAGAAAGGAAATCATGCTTGATTCCTTTAGGCTTCTCATGAAGTGTCAAACCACATGGGATGCTGAGTCCTTAGAGCCCAGACTGGGGATCTGTGATCAGTTCCTTAGACATGTATTTTAACTACAAGAAGCAATGGCATGGAAGGCCATAAGAACCTCTTAGTTGCCTTGGTGGATCAGACCAGTGGTCCATCTAATCCAGCATCCCGTTTCATACAGTGGCCAGCCAACAAGGTTGCCAACTCTGGGTTGGGAAATACCTGGAAATTTGGGGAGTTGAGCCTGGGGAGACCAGGGTTTGGTGAGAGGAGGGACGTCAGCAGGGTATAATGCCATAGAGTCCACCCTCCAGAGCAGCCATTTTCTCCAAGGAAATTGATCTTGGTTGTCTAGAAATCAATCGTAATAGCAGTAGACAACCAGGTGCTACCTGGAGGTGGCAGCCTTACAACCAACTATCCTAGAGGGCCAAGACCTTCCCCTGATCACTGGTCCTTGAGCAACAAGACACCCACCGTATTTGCTTCTTGCACCACTCCCATACTAAACTCCTGGTAGCAAGCCCTGTTTGCAAGGTCTAGTACCACTCTGTGAGGGCCCAATCTAGATAGGAGTACCAGGGCTGGGAAAAGACAGTTGGTCTTTGTCTAGATAAGACCTTTTCTGTGGCCGAGTTCAGCCCCCTCTCCTCCTCCTGACCTTACTAATATGGTTTGTTGTTTCTGGGTCCCCCCCCCCCACTATTGCTAACCAATTCCTGTTGAATGAAGACGATCTGCTGTTACGGCTATTTTAATTAGTTAATCTTTGTTGCTGTTACTGTTTTTGTAAATTTCCCTGAAGGCCAGATTTGGTGGAAAGGCAGGATCATTTTAAAATAAATAAATAAATACTGCATTGGGCTTGGATCATAGAGATCTGGGTTCATATTCCTGCTCCAAGCATGAACTCTCTGGACGGTGCTGAGCAAAATGCCTAGGCATAGATCACTGTGGTGTGTTCCCTCTAAGCTGTGGAGTCTTGTGAGCAAAAATTCTACTTTGTGAGCTACTGGCATTCAAGCTGTGAGTGAGCGATTTGGCTTCTGCATAAATTAGTTGGCTCCGGAGCCATCCTTCCTGAGCTGAGACAAAAATGTGTGAGCCGGAGGCTAAAAAACTGTGAGCCAGCTCACACTAACTCAGCTTAGAGGGAACACTGGTTACCTGTGCTGTGTTGGGGAAATTATATTTCCCTGGCAGTATTCAATCCCTCTCCTCTCTAGAAATGAAGGGGTGGCATCTGCCCTATGATTCTTCCTCCTGGTTCCTTAAGGAGAAGCCACAGTCCAGAGGCCTGGGAGGCTGTGGAACAGTTCAGTGTCTGGCATCTGCTTGAGATCTCTTGTCAGCTGGTGTTGCTGCTGTTAGCCTAGATCGGTGATGGGGAACCTTTTAGAGACCGAGTGCCCAAACTGCGACCCAAAACCCACTTATTTATCGCAAAGTGCCAACACGGCAATTTAACCTGAATACTGAGGTTTTACTTTAGAAAAAACAACTCCTACATTAACTTAAGATGATCCAAACAAAGTAAGGAAAGCAATCCCAAATGCTTTCATTTACTTAAAATTATTTGGCAGATTATTCGACACTTTAATGATGGTCTGGGCCTGGCTGGGGCGATGGCACGCGTGCCCACAGAGAGGGCTCTGAGTGCCACCTCTGGCACCCGTGCCATAGGTTCGCCACCACTGGCCTAGATGGACTTCTTGTCTGACTTAATAGGGCAGCTGCTTTTTGTATATAAATTCATGTCGAGTCAGTGGGACCAACAGTAAAGGCATCTGAGCACAGGCTCTTCCCATGATTCTCCCCAATAATTCTACATCAACCTCATGAGGAGGGTTAGGCCAAGAGATCTTCACTGGTTCAAGTTCACTCACACATCTTTCTATGTCTGTTGAAGCTAATGGACTTCGATTGCTTAGATTGGTACTGTTAACGGACTTGAGTACTGAGTGGGTGTTTGAACCCAGGATTCCCTGGCCTAGCCACTACATCAAGCTGTCCTTAAGCATCTTGCTTATGTGCCACTCTCATGGCTTTTAGGTACAAATTTAACCATATTATTGTTCCAGAAATTATAACAAAGGGGTCCTCGCATAAATATAACTACTACATAAAGTCCTACAGAGTCCTTTTCAGCCGGGATGGGAAGAACTGGAAAGTCTATAAGTCCAAAAATGGAGACGATAAGGTAAGACTGGTAAATATTGGGAAGTGGGTCTATTGGGATGGAGATGGTTAACAATAGTCGATATGCAAAGTAGCCTCCCCCTGCTCTGCTAATAACATTTGAAAGAAGGAAATGTGTCCTTTGAAAATACATTTTCCCTTTAAAATGCGAACAACAGAACAGGGAGTCTGGTTTCAAACAGTGAAATCAAAGACTGAAGCTGAAGTTAAACCCCTATCCTTCTCTGCACAGCCCTGAGACAAGTTGAGATCACCCAAACCTGCAATAAACAAACACCATCACAGCTTTCCATGTCAGTTTCTAATTCTTCCTTCTCCCCACCCTGCCAGGTCTTTAAAGGAAATAGTGACAGCTACCAAGAGGTCTCCAACACTTTCATCCCACCAATCCTGGCTCGTTACCTGCGCATCACACCCCAGAGCTGGAACCAGAGGGTTGCGCTGAAAGTGGAGTTGTTGGGATGTCAGGTGGCACGCCTCAAGGCAATGCGCCCATACAGCGATAATGGAAGTAAGGAGCAGCAACTTGCCTATCCGGATTGATACTCTTTGATGATCACCAACTGGCTCATCTTCCTTTAGGGCGATCGTGTCAGCTTCCTTGTTAATAAGGAGGGGGGTGTTTTCATGCAGCCCACACATGCACAGGTTACCTGGAATGCTAATGCATGCCACTGAAGGGCAAGGGGGAAGCAGCCACATCCAGACTAGCATCAGGAGTTGGTGCACATCCTTGCAGGAGGGTTAAAGGTAAAGGTAAAGGTTCCCTTGCTCGAAAGCCAGTCGAATCCGACTCTAGGGTTGCGGTGCTCATCTCCGTTTCAAAGCCGAAGAGCCAGCGCTGTCTGAAGACGTTTCCGTGGTCATGTGGCCGGCATGACTAAACACCGAGGCGCACGGAACGCTGTTACCTACCCACTGAAGTGGTCCCTATTTATCTACTTGCAATTTCTTGCTTTCGAACTGCTAGGTTGGCAGGAGCTGGAACTAGAGATGGGAGCTCACCCCATCATGCGGCACCCGGGTCTTGAACTGCTGAACTACTGACCTTCCACAGCCTGCAGTTCAGTGTCTTAACCACTTGAGCCACCGCAGGAGGGTTACTGCCAAGCAAAAGAGCTTGGCCTTTTTGTAAGAGTCATACTGCACTCCCTCTGAGAGACTCTCCCACCAAGAACTGAGAGATTTTGATGCTGCAGGGGCTTTAGGATAAACACTCATTTCCTGACAAGCAGGAGGCTAGTGGGAGGCAGTGCGGGAACCACGCTTAGCTGCCTTTTCTCTCTCACCAGGAAAGGGAAGATCACTCTACAGGATCTTCCATTTCCTGATTGGGTGGAGGAAGTGGAGCACTAACTCTCTAGCTTCCTTTCGCCCTGACTTGTTGACCACAGAGCAAATTGTAAATAGTTCATGTATGTTAAAGAGGTTGATCGGGTAGAGGACAATGAGGCGTGATGATGTACTTTATGGGAGGGCCACTGGAGGGCATCTTGCCTATAGGAGGTAGTGCTATAGGCCTCAAAAACCTGGAGACAGTCTTTATCCACAACTGTTAGGGACAAAGTCTTATGAGTTCATCTAAACCTGCAGTTCCCTTTGTGGTATCCATGGGCATATGGTACCCACCTGCTTTATCCTCAAAATATCTCTTCTCCAAAACAAACAGCCAGTCTTGGCTTTCCTCCACTGTCAAAGGAGACACTTCAGAAGAGCCCAGAAGGTATCATCATTGTGCCTGCAGGGAGCACCTGTATGGAAACAGCTGCTTTCAACAAAGGAGGATGTTTGGCTTGGAACCCTCTAATGTTTTGTGGAACCTCCCACTGTTTGAACCCAACCCCATGGCAGCCATTTTCGGATTGGTTTCCCCTCGCCCTCCCCCCATGACATCCATTTTGTTGTGGCACTCACAACGAAATTCCAAGAGCGCTCGCAAGAGTGGGAACCCCTGACCTAAACCATAGAGAGATGTGGTGATCTGGTTCTGAAAGACAGGAGGATGATACATCTCACTTTGAGTCACCAAGGATTCTTACACTTCAGATGCTTTCACCGGAGACTGAAATCACCTGGGGCAGGGGTAATTATGCTTGGTAATGCAGAACAAAAAGCAAGAGAAGAGGCATTTGTCATACAAATATGCATTCCAGCTGATGGAAGTTTATCCATCTCATTGAAGGCCCATAAAAGCAAGAAGTGCTTTGAATTGAATATATAGTCAAATCTTTTCTCCTAGGCTACCCACAGAGAATCGTTTCCTCCCATTAACAGTACAATATCTTGAAAGCAGGGAGGGGAAAGTAGCAGAAGACAGAGGCAATTTGTCAAATGGGTGGCTTGTTTTTTAGACTTCACCACGAACACTTGTCTGCTATGTAGGATAGCGGCAATTAGCACTGGGATCAGCATGGTCCCTATGGGGCTTATGGTGACCAGGTAGGCACTGAATCACTCCAGAACAACAGCAGGAAGTGCAGGAGACAGACGTATTTCTGCCAGCTGTTTCTCGACATTCCTGAATGTTGTATGAAAAGTTGCATTTCCTCCTGGAGGGAAAGGCCAGAGCCAGCATCAGGGCTCAGCATCATTGGGCAACTGCCAAGGCCCACCTCTCTGCAGGGGGCTCACGGTTTACTGCCAGAGCCCCTTGGCCTTGCAGTGACAGCCTGCGCAGCCATCTCCCTGTTTGAGGAAGCATGTAGAGATAGGGACAGTGAACAAAAGGGCAGTAGCAGCTCCCTGCTCCTTCACTTCCCCTGTCCCTCTGGGCAATGGGTAGGACTAGGTCCAGCCCAGAAGTGAGCCAGCGGAGGCACCTTGCCCAAAGGCCACCCAAACCCTGGAGCCAGGAACGGCCATAGCTCAGGTAGAGCACATACTTTGTACGCTGAAGTACCCAGTTCTCTTCCCAACATCTCTGATTAGAAGGATCTCCAGTAGCAGGATGTTCTGTTTAAACAGCTGTTTTGCAAGCTGTTTCATTGTTGCAGTTTAGACGTTTGTCCCATTAGAGAAACTGTAGCCTGATGCTGGGCAGACGAGAGACCTCTACACTGGGTGGGGTGGGGTGGGGTGGGAATCAGAGTGGTGGGAACGGAGGAACAAAGATGGAGGAGAAAGTAGAACACGGGCTATAAGAGGGGTAGAAGAATAAAACCTGATGTTATGATTCCTGCCTTGTGTTATCTCCTTGCCTGCATTAAGTTACAAAACAGCGCTGGGGGAAACCTTTTCCTAACATCTGAAGAGATGCTGCCCGTGGGAGTGAGCAGAGTAGGCCCCATTCTCCACCTGGCCCTCTCACAGGCCACCAAGGTCGAGCCAAGACGGAACTGACCTTCAATGGTGGAACAAGAGCCTTGCTACAAGGCGCTGCCAATAGCTCAGCACAAGCTAGGTTAGAGAACTAATTAACTAGCAAAGGCTAGAGCTCACCTGAAGGCTTATATAGGGAGATGAGACTCTCACCTTTACCTGTAGCCATACATGGGTCCTGATCAATGTTCCCTCTAAGCTGTGGAGTCTTGTGAGCAAAAATTTTACTTCGTGAGCTACTGGCATTAAAGTTGTGAGCAAGCAATTTGGCTACTGCATAAATTAGTTTGCTTTGGAGCCATACTTCCTGAGCTAAGACAAAAATGGGTGAGCTGGAGGCTAAAAAACTGTGAGCTAGCTCACACTAACTCAGCTTAGAGGGAACACTGGTCCTGATCCTGCACAGACCTAGAGTGTGGTACATATCTTGAGCTGCTAGGGATGTGCTCCTAGAGATGGGGGGGCACTAGTTGCTGAAGAGACCACTTGGAGGCTTTGAATCTGCCCAAGGCTCTGGCTCTTGGATGGGAACCACTTGTGACTGAGACCGTGTGTGTGTGGGTCTTCTCCTGAAGATCCTCAGGGACAAGGAGGCTGTGGTATAATGAGGACCACAGGGAGATTCTCTTCCCTCCTGGAATCTCCCCCTCTTTGGAGGATTCCAGTGGGGATGGGCTGGGGTAGACCCTGACACAATACTAGGTGAGACAAACCAATGGTATAAGACAGGTTCCTATGGAGGGTATGCCCTGTCTAGGAATCCATCCTGGTTTTCTCTTAGTAAAAGATGGCCCCTCATTCAAAACTTTCCCACAATAAACGTTTTGTGCAAGCATGGTGAGGGACATTGCCCTCTCCTTGTCCCAGTGGAACATTCTGATATGTTCAACTCAGTGTTCAGCCTAGCTATATGCCCTCTTCCACAACATGATACTCACACAACAGCAAATGGCTCGAAAGAGCACAATCAATTTTTGTTTTAAATCCCTGGCTGTGTCAAATTGTTCTTGCTCAGGTCTCAGCACATGCAGACCCACAAAGAGCCACACAGGGCCAATGAGGACCAGTAGTGGCCAATCCCAAATGTGTCAAAGGCCCTCTGGGTCCTGCAAATATAGCTTTTAGCCAGATTCACAATATTCACATTTCTGTATGTTCTCCCATTCCAACACTGCAAGTTCTGGACACAGAATTCAGTATTCTACAAACTGCAGCTTGTATTCCCCCCCCCCCCAAATTTCCTGGCCCTTAAAATGGTCAAGATAGCCGAGAGAGTATGCGGGCATGGTGGGGAAGTGCCAAAAGATCGGAAATGGGAGCTTCCAGAAGTCAAGCTAAAATGTTAAACAAAATAATCTTGAGAAAATCTGTGCAAATATGTTTTTCAGCTGCATAATGTGCTGTATTATGGGTACTGCACCAAATTTGTCACCTTTGTTTGCTTAGCTGTAAAGTACAAACCACTGTATGTGCAAGATCCAAGCAAAAAATGTAGAATGTGTCATGTCTCCCACCTACTGATAACTGGCCATGCCCAGTTACAACAGTGGGCCAGATTCTCTCCATGGCAAGCATGACCACTGATTTTATATGTTTGAATGTGTTTTAAATTTTATTGTATTTATTGAAATGTTGTGACCTGCCCTGAGCCCGTTTACGGGATGGGTGGGATATAAATGCAATAAATAAATAAATGCTTATCTGTGCCCAGTCCATATAGCCCAGTCCCAAGTGCGTGAGGCAGAGCATGTTGTCCTCATGAAATCCTCCACTTTTTTTTGCAGTCCAAAGTGGCCCCAAGGAGCTCCCCATCCTGACCAGCATTCCGGCCATTTTCACCCCAAACCCTGGAATAGTAATCAGTTCTGAGAAAACAGGTAAGTGCTTCCCAAATTCTATTTCTAAGGAAGAGCTTTTTTTTCTAGTGGTCACAGCAGGAGTGCTGGTTCTGCCTTCTCCCCTGCAATTAGGCTTGCCATGTCCCCCCGGGGGGTGGGGAAAACCCCGCCCCAGAAGCCCATTCCCTGCCGCTGGCGGATCGGGCCCCGGGGGGAACCCCACCCCGACGTGCGCGTTACCCGGAAGTGACGATGCGGGGCATGCTGGGGGCGGGGCCACGGTCATCCGAGGGAAAACTCTATGGTTTTCCCTCGGATGGTTGTGGCCCCGCCCCCAGCGTGCCTGGCGTCATCACGTCACTTCAGCGCGCGCTTCAGCCGCCCTCCAGCTGCCAGCGGGGGGTCCCCCGCTCCGACAAAATTTTGACTTGGCAACCCTACCTGCAATCTAGGAATGCTTTGTATGTTGCCAATTTCAGGCAGGAGTGGACTCCTACCAGCCATCCTACCCTAGACACAGAACACACACATACATGCAAAAAGCTCCTTGCATGAATAGCCACCCCATCCTAACAGCCCTACATGACCCAGGATCAGGGTACTTGAAGAACCACTTACTCCCAGAAGAACCTCTCCAATAATTAAGAATTTTATCAGCAGTTCTGCTCTGTGGATTTCCATGGTTTGAAATAAGGGCTACTAGAGCCAGGGTCATTTTTTTTCCGGGGCTCCTAGGTTGTGGCATACCCTTCCTACAACTGACACCGACACAGTTGAGGTTTGGGCTCCAGCGTGAGACCTTTCTTTTACTGAGGCTTGCTATAAAGTTTGTTGGCCAGCCTTCTGAATACCACCTCTGAATACTGTCTGGGAACACTGTAGGCACATGGGCTGTGTGCAGAAACACCCTGGTATGAGCTCTGACGCGTCCTGCTAACACGGATCCCATGGTGCCCACAAAGTGCTTTTAGACAGTGGATGGGGTCAGGTGGGGGGTTTGCCAGTAAGCCTTCTGATTGGCCACTGAATATCTGATTGGCTGTGCAGATTTTTTTAATGCTGCTTTGGCAGCAGCTACTACCACAGCACAAGGATCTTCACTGTGTGACAGAAGGTAAGCTGCTGCAACCATTGTGTGGCTGGCTCCACCTCCTGTGGCAGCCATTTTGTGGTTGTGCCCACCTAGGGTTGCCAGCCCTCTGGTCCAGGCGGGGGTTCCCCCACTTTTGTGGGCTCCTCCCCACCGCCAGCTAGCTGGCCGGTGGGGGGAACCCCGCCTACAAATGCCCCAAAACGTGGCACGGTGTTGCACAGCAACACTCTAGTTTTTGGGCAAAACTCTATGGTAAATTTGGGCTCAAACCATAGAGTTTTGCCCCAAACTAGAGCATTGTTGCACGACAGTGGCACAATGTAATCACTTCTGGGTTACATCATCACACCACGTGTGCTTTGCACACCCAACAGAAGATCCCAGCAAGGCCCAGAGATCTGCCCCACCAGAAAGAAGGTAGGAGCTGGCAATCCTATGCCCACCATACTGTGTCAAAATACTAAAGGTACCCACTGGTTCAAAAAGGTTGGGGACCCTCTCGCTAAAGAATTCTCAGGCATGGTCTGCACACATGAAAGAAACTTGGGGTGGTCAAATAGACTGCAGTACAGTTCCTTCCTATGAACAACTCTCTTCAAATAGCAAACTAGCACAGCAGGAAGAAAGCTTCTGACCCACTCTTTTTGGCTGCGGTCATACGTGCCATTTGGCACGGAGGGGAAGCGAGCCTATTTTCCCTGGTTGAAATTGACACAGCGTTGCACAGTCACACAGCCTTTGTAGCTGTGGGCTCAGCCCATCACTGCCCAATCAGACGGCATGTAGCCGAGTGGGGTTTTTTTTTGCCTTTTGTTTCCCATGCGCATAAATGAGGAATCGCACCTCCGCACTGAGGATTCCCCATGGAGTATGTAGTTATGCGCATACTGCTAAGTGAGGGGAAAAAACCCAGCACCAAGTCGGGATGGAGACTATCCTGATGGCCTAAGTGCGTGCTGGAGCAATCAGACAGGGGAAAGTCCATCCATAGCCCATTGACGAGCATTAGGACCGGACCTTCCCCAGTGTCTTCTGACTCCACTTCTTTGGCAGAGCAGCACAGGGTGCCGATGGCTGTGGAACCTTTCCCAGGCCCTTTCCCAGGCATTCGCAGCCGAGTCAGATCTAAAGGCACATCTGACCACAGCCTTTGTTCACTATTTGGGCTTTCTGCTTGCCAGGCACTCTTCACTGGCAGTTTAAAGTGGTCTCATCTACCACCTCAGCAGCTGACCATCTTGTTCTGCTGAGTATGTTAACCTGGATGCTCATAAGTGCATTTGAATACATCTGCATACATCTGCACTGGAAAACCCCCTCTTTCACACATTCAAGTGATCCAGAAGAGGGATCTGAAATCTGAACAGTAACTCTATTGCATGTGTGTGTGCCTGCAGGCGCATAACAGTCCTGACAGAGAGGAAGCTGGGAGAGACCTTTCCCTGCCTGAGATGCTGGAGAGATGCTGCTGGTCAGGGTAGACAGCTGTCAACTGGACAGACCATACATATACATGTAGCGGCCTTATACTGAATCAGACCATAGGTCCATCAAGGTCAGTATTATCTACTCAGACTGACAGCAACTCTCCAGTGTCTCAGGTAGTAGTCTTTCATATCGCCTACTGCCTGGTCCTTTCAACTGGAGATGCCAGGGACTGAACCTGGGACCTGCTACATGCAAAGCAGATGCTCTACCCCTGAGCTACAGTCCCTCCCCAAATGACCTGGCTTAGTATATGAGGCAGTTCCACATGCTCAGAGTTTTGTTAAAGCACCTTCTTTGTTTTTTGCTGATGCTTCTTTGCTGTGTTTTATTCTGCGTAGCATTTTGCTACTTTTATATTGCAGCTGTTTGTATATAGATTAAAATCTTGCATTGCTTCTTTAAACAATTTTCTGTCACTGATGTTCCTACCAGTGGGGACCAGTGATACTTGTGGGGGGGGGCCCCACTGCTGCTGATTCCCTCCTTGAGGCTCAGGGCGGGGACTCGCGGGAGGGGGGAAAGCCCTTCCCTCCCGATCACCAAACAGCTCCAGCCTCCACTACGTCCTACTGAGCCCTGCGGCAGGGCTGGAGCAGCCATCGGTGTGCTTCTCTGCTGCTGCCAGACCCAGTGCAGCAGCCAGCGTTCTCCACTGCCATGGCTGGGCTGGAGCAGCTGCCAGGGTGCTCTTCTGCTGCTGGGCTCAGAATGACAGCAGGCCAGCGGTCAGGTAGCCTCAGGACCAGAGACAGACAAACATGTCCACAGGGCCCAGTAGAAGCGATATCAGGACCAGGACCCAAGATGCATAAGGGGTATTTCACGTTTTAGCAGAAATCCACTACTGCCTACCACTTTTGCAACACAATCTTGAATGTTCCCCCCCGTTAAAAAAAAGAAAATCAGGACATCAGAACAGCATTCATGCAACGTGATTTATAGAACTGCTACACATATACGAAGCATAGAATTAATGAGACTTGTGCCCAGTAGGCCACCAGCCAACTCCTTAATATTAGGCTTAATTCCTGTTTGCTGAGTGCTGCTTTAATGGCCTGGAGCAGAAATCTAGGATTTTCCATTTTTCTGACGCCTCCCTTCTTACCCAGGTCCTCCGTTACTAGTGATGTTGCTGATTGGAGGCTTCGTGCTCATCTCCTCTGCCTTACTACTGCTGGCTTTCCTCTGCCTTAAGAAGAGGTAAGTAAATTTTCCCTTTCTTGGCCCACCAATCACAAGGGGGATCTCCTCCAAACCTAACCTTGGCAGGAAAGAGACCTCACAAGGAGCACTCTGTATCCTTCCTAGAATCTCCTGCTGATATGAACACCAAAGGAATACCAAATTTGGAACAAAGAAGGATTCAACCTAAGTAGTTTCCACAAAGAGGCTATTTGTAAAGTTTACGTGCCGTCTCTATAGAGACCTGCTCAAGGCAACTCACAAAGTAAAAACAATACAATATAATAATTTTTAAAAGAATTATTAATGTTAAAACAAACCATAAGAATGGAGGGGGGGGAGATATGAAAACAGCATGAAACAAGATTCAACAGCCTAAAACAATATCCCCAGGGGTCGTTTCGTAGAAAAAGAGCTACGGGAACTCATTAACATAACTCATTAGCATATGCCACACACCCTGACATCACCGGAAGTGTGTCATAAGGCCACACCCCCTGACATCACCGGGAGTGTGTCATAAGGCCACACACCTCGCCCCCAACGGTCCCGGCCACCGCTGCCGGCCTTGCAGCTCCACTGCTGAGCGCTATGAGGGGCCCGACGGTGGACCTGCAAGGCCGGCAGGAGTGCAAGGAAGCCCTGCGAAGGCCCTCCCTGGCCCCAGGCAGGCAGGGGTGGGGAGAGGCAGGGAGGAAGCAACTTACCCTCCCTCTTCTCCTGCCTCCTCCTGGCTGAATGAGGGCCGGAAGCGGGGCGGCCGGAAGCGGGGGGCGGGGCTTCGTCATGTGCCCCGCCCCCTTTACCTCACCCGGGGGAACCGCGATCCCCCCCCGAAATGACCTCTGAATATCCCCCAAACAGCCCTTGGGCTAGAAGCAAGTCACAAAACAACTTAAAAATAGAGAACCCCGCCTCAGTTAAAAGCCTGAGTAAAAAGAAATGTTTTGGTTTTGTAACTAAAGGACAGAAAAGCAGGTGTCAAGTGAGCTTGGGGGGGGGACTCCAAAGGCAAGATGCCATCACTGAGAAAGCACCATCTCTGATTGCTACCCACCTCACCTCTGCAGGTGGAGACAAACAGCGTAGCATAGGAAGGAGACATTTTGGCATTTCGCTTGGAGTGTATGCCTTGTGAGACCATGCCACATTACACTTAGGCTGCAGTTATCTCCATGAACATTCTCACCATAAGCAGGTTGCCTCCAACCCTGTATAAAAATAAGTTTGCAGGAACCATTGGGCAGCCATCAAGGAATACATTGCACGTTCACGACCCAAGCGTGCACGAGACATTGTCAGTTTTGTTGCACCCCTAGTGCAAATTGTTTGGATGTCACTCAGTAGCCCTGTGGACTTCTACACACTGAAATTCAGGAGTTGTTTTCAACTATTTTTCTTTAGAGTGGTCCACAAAACTGTATTGTATTCTTGTGCCGAGTGGGGGCAGGGTAGGGGGTTTCTGAATCCTCTGTGGTCTTCTCTCTCCCTCTGCAGGAAGACAGCGGTTGATCAAGACTGTGGTCTTGTAAAAGGTAAATCATTCAACACCACACATAGGACCTGGAACAACAAATGTGTAATTTGGCCTTTAACAGTGAATGTGTGTGTGTGTGGGGGGGAGATATAGGGGAAGGGGCTAACTTTTTTGTCATACTATTTCCCTGATCAAATATGCCTCTTCCTTGGGCTGCTTTAAAACCCAGTAGGCGAAAAACACAGTCAGAATCTGGGTCCCCGTTGTTGTTTTTTTGCCTCCTGGTGTGAGACAGAGGGATCTGTGACTGCATAAATGACAGGCAGAACAGTTTAAACTTCTCTTCCCCAGCGCTGCAGCACTGATTTGCACTTTCCATAAGTTTCCTGTAAGTTTTCTGTCTGTTTCAGTGGTACTCACTCTGTGGTTCATGGAGAGCCACAGTCACAATGACCATAACAAGGAACCACACCCTGTGCAGCACCTCACACACACACATACCACGATTATTAAATATATAAGAATTACCTTTCTAATTTCCTCAGAGTACTTCTCAGCATGTAGGTTTGTCTCCCCCCCACACACACTGTTAAACCTCACCCTGCTCTTATGTCTCTGGAAAGTG